ATGGCAGGTCTATTATGTGAAATAAGAGGGGTTTTTGGCTGGTATTTTCAGCCCTCATATGGGAGGAATGAAGTGAATTAACTGGTTGTGGTTTGGCAAGGAATTTTGGCCAGGAGTGTATTAATTCAATGAAGGGACAATGTGGGGTTCATAGGGTGTGGTAGTGTTGTCCAAAGAAAGTAAGAGGCTGGGTTGTTTGGATTTTTGGGGTTTGATTTTTTGTGCGGGGGGGTTTTCAGCCTTTATGGGGTGGAGATATCCAAAAAGATTATGGCTAGGTTTTGAGGTTTGTTGATGAATTCTTTCCAAAAAGGATCATAATACCTAGTCATTATTCCATTGATTTGTTTAAGGACTTTGGGATCATTGGTAGTACCCGGGGATATATCAATTCATCTCATTGAAATGGAAAAAATGATATTGAATTTGGAGGAGGTTCGAACGACATTAGTCTCTCATGTCATAGAATGACATGACATGAGCCTCGATTGCAGCACCTACGATGCTCCATTTGAAAAATTGATGGTTTCTACACCCTTCCTCCCAAACACCCCCACCCCTTACAATTGCTCCCCACCAAAATTTTTTTGACTTTGGAGTCAAAATAGATTTGGCAAGATAAATTGGTCAAGGCAACTTGCTAGAAAAATGTTTCTGGGTTCTACATCTCATTTGCTGTTTTTGCGCCTCACAATTGACCCTCTTAAACAAACGCCAAAGAGCAAAAAAAACAATTTATTCTAGTCAATTAACAGAGCGAAATTTATCACATATGTGCTCAATAAGTTGTTTCACGTCAGCATGTGAGGGCAACAATTAACTCTGCTCTAGGCTCATTACAAAATTCATGTAATAACCTCCACCCTTTTAGGTCAACAAAAACCCATAAATAAAGTGTTAAGGTATATAATGATAAACCAGTAGTGTGCTCGATGGAACAGAAAAGAGATGCCGCTTCGGCGCGCTTCATAAAATGCTCCACATCCTCTCTAAGGCAGTACTAATACGTCTCAAACAAATCCCTGAACTCAAGTGATGGGGAGACACTGCAAATAAGTGAACAAGGGACATTACTAGTTCCATTATCAGTGCATGACAAACACACACAAAAACAAGAAATCTATTAAGCATGATACCTGATACAAGGTCTTCGATGTAATCACATTTAATTTTACCATGAGCCATTGCACCAACCTGAAAATTCTCAGGAGATCACTCGTTTTTATAAAGCATGAACTGCCAACAGGCTAAGTAAAACTCAACGAAGTCAAGGTGTACGGAAACCCACCACAAACACCACATCACTATTGCTACGGATTCCCTTAATATAATCCCGCAGTTGAACTGCTTTCTCTGAGCTGAATGAAAGACCTGAAGTGGCACAAGTTATATTAGGAACTACCAAAGCCACAAACAACTTCACTCTTGTGTTAGTCGACATGTTCACCTATTTTGTATGAGTTGAAAGGTAAATGCTTCGTCACTGGATTGTCCACCAGGCGCAAGCTTTATACCCTTGCCCTTTGCTTTGATGCTGAGCTTTTGAAGCAATTCAGCTGCAGCATTACAGATGTTAGAAGGTACGGGCTGGAAAATATGAAGGGCAAACATAAAGGCAATGAGGTGGTCTCAAACCTTTTTACATCAAACAGAAGAAAACGACTTACCCATCATGTTACAGAAACTTGCCAAAGTCCTCGGAATCTGAGCAAATGGTTCTACTTTGATCAAAACTCCCCCATTTGTCTTGATGTATACTGCACTCAACCGACCAGCCATACGAAGTCGACTATCCATAATTTGAAGAAGTGCCTGAACAGAGCATTAGTTCAATTTCAAGAAAAACAATAAAGCATAGAATGTGAAGATTGGAAAATGCACATTAATTTCCTGCCTAAATAGTGTTTCAAAGAGAGGTGTGAAGAATAAAGGGAAAACGGATGTAGTAATACCCAAATATATTGAGACTATACAAGCCCAAATCCCCGATCCTTTCCCAAAAAAGAGGAAATTTTCTTCTTATTCTGTTCTCTCTAGGGAAATTGCATTTATCCTTTTATTAATTAAACTACAACTGGAAAGGCGCTCGCAGATTGAATCTTCGGAACCGAGTTAAGCAAGAAGTTTTTTTTCCCTATCGATTCCAGCGGGAGCCAAAGATTCAATAATTCTTCGCTTTGTAATAATTTAGAAGAAAGCAGAATGTAACCTTTGTATCGACTTATATCATGGGTTATCGAGAAACAACTTCTCTATTTCTTAGTACACAAGTAAAATTGCTTACATCCTACCCCTTTACTATGCAATGTGTCACATGTGGGAGCATTTCAGGCACACGGGTAACAAGTGAGTGCAATAGCAATTGATAAAGATTGCTATGTTAGTGACCATCTGTACTCTCATTACCAATACATTTTGCTTTGTTTATAACTACCAGTGCACGATGGAATAAAGCAAACTTGCCCGCTAAATTGTCTTTCTTATATATGCAAGCATGAAGCGCTCTCTAGTTAAATTTCTGACGGCATCACAATTACCCCCTCTATTCCCCATCTACTTTGTAAAAGTGTAAGCACTGAAGATACAGGCAGCACAAATGGAGAATGCAAAGCAGTCCAAAGTGGTCCACAATACAGACAAGAAATGAGCAGAAGAGCAGAGAGACCTCGTGAACTATGTCAGGCCAATAGTCGTAAGGATTCAACTTCTTTTTCCGCAAATAATCAGCATGCTCATCAGAAGAAAGTATCTGGTACCTCTGAGAGTTGTAACAAGAACAGTTAGAATATTACTAGAAAACAATATCAAATACAATCATACGTCTACCTAGACGAAAGAGTGAACTATTGGCAAGAAGATGCACTTACCTTGCCAATATAAGCAAGTGTTAATGACGCCTCCTCAAGAACAAATGTAACACTTCCTTGATGATCAGAATGGCCAGGGATTGGCATAGGAATGCCCACAAGATCACTTTCTTCATCTCCTTGTTTGAATTCATCAGGCCTCACTTCACCATCACAAACACCCACCAAATTTAACGCCTTATTGTTCAGACCTTCTTTGCCATCATTTATCAACTCAGCCCTCTTTTTGGTAGAGCATGACTGCAAGGATGTTGACTTTCGCTTTCGTTTTTGGATCCTAGTAAACATAGACTAAATTCTATTGGTATCAATTCGCGCACACACTCCTCGGAGCCAAGCAGCCACCACAGCATGTGCCTTGCTGTTGGTGGGGGGAAAACCCTTAATAAGTCAAGTCTACTGTCATGTTCTCTTCAACTTATTTTTTTACTTATTGCTTATTCTTATTGGAATCAAATCAGACCAGATCAGATCAGAAATAGCTTTAAATATAACTACATTCAAATCAGTCCAAATCAGATTAGAACTTATTCCAATTAGATCAGAACCAATCAAATTAGGTGAAGAGAACACGGCCTACGTGGCCTACAGGTCTATTCTTCAGGTACGGGTACGGGCATTATAAGTCGGATTTGATTTGGGTGATCTAGAAACCGGGTCTATTCATATATATATATATATATATATATATATATATATATATATATATATATATATATATATATATATATATAGTCTGATGTTTTTTTTTGAGAGGGGAGTATTATATGTCGAGTATTAGCTATTCGATCTAAGTAACACAAATATGTAGTGTACAGGTAACACACAAAAAAATGAAAGGTATTGATCTACTTATTTTATATATATGAATGAAAAATCAATAGCGATAGGACTCATCAATGTAGAGTAATTAAATACGAAATATATAATATGGAGTATCTAAGAAATAAGCTATTTGTAGACAATTCAAAAATTGTACCTTATTTTGTACCTGCATACACAAACAATTTGTACTAGTGTGATGATTTACACTGACACAAAATGTCAGTGCATTTTTTTTAATGAACTAGCATTTTGTACTAATGTAAACCGTTAAAATACTGGTGCATCCATTTTGAGTACAACTTGGGGTACCCCTAGCATGGTTGATAAGGAAATTGAGAATTTAAGGATTATAATATGTTTCACATGCGGATAAAAAGTGGACGTATAATTACGAAATTTATTTTAATTAATTTTTAAATGAAAAAAAAATAAGAAATGACTATAAGTTTAATAATCAAAGAGACGAGTAAAGTATGTAGTTTGTCTCTCCTTTACATGTAATATATGGAGTAATATTTGCATTTTTTTTACATTTATTTGGGTTTTTGTCATATGTGATGACCATTTTTTCTGGACACAAACGGGGGACTTTTGTAGTGGTGCATTCCAAAAGTGAGGAATCTGCATTTTGGCTCCGTTTGTATGTATCTCGCTGTCGGGCTTGAGCTTCACACATTTCGATAGCATTTGGGGTTTGGGACGGATGTCATCTATCCTCATTGTCATCGCATTATTCTTCAGTCTTATACTGATCGCTCTTTCCATGATCGATGCACCACTACATGACATTCTTCGTCTCAATACAAAAGTAGTTGTGTGGGAGAAGTTTGTGTGCATTCCACTCGCCATATTTCTTGGCGTGGTGGGAGTCAAGACACGTTTGACGGCAGCAGGTTCCATGTCTCTGTTCGCAATTAGGTAGCTTAGCTTCGTTTTTATTGCAGAAATGCAGTATAATTTAGACATTTTCAATACTGTGATAAAAAAAGCTGTTGTACGTGTTTCTAAATGGGAGTGGGACAATAGTTACCTCCTTTTTGGTTTATCTTCCTTGCCGTGTGTCTTTCAGTAATTTTGTATAAGGCTCGACAAAGTTTTCATGATGCTCGCACCCCATACAAAACCGTCGAAAGACGCACGGCAAGTAAGATAGCCCAAAAACGGAGGTAACTACTATCCCACCCCCATTTTGAAACACGTAAAGCAGCTGTAAATCTCACATTATTGAAAATGCCAAAATCATAACGCATTTCTACAATATACACGAAGCTAAGCCATCGAACTACAAACAGATACAAGGAACCTGTGGCCGTCAAGTGTGTCTTGTCACCCACCACGCCAAGAAATATGGCAAGTGAGATGCACACAAACTTCTTTGCCGTAGCTACTTTTGCAATGAGACGAAAATGTAACGTAGTGGAGCATCGACCATGGAAAGAGCAATAAATATGAGCGCGAAGAATAATGTGATGCCAACGATAATGAGAATAGATTACATCCATCCCAAACCCCAAATATTATCCAAACGTGTCAAGCTCAAACCAAACAGCAAAATACATACAACCGGAGCCAACATGTAGATTTCTCATTTTTGCAATGACCAACTACAAAAGTCCCTTATGCATGTCTAGAAAATTGTCATCACATATGACAAAAACCCTAATAAATGTAGAAAAAAACAAAAATATTACTCCATATATATATCATGTTGCTAGAGACACACACCATATTCTACCCGTCTCTTTGGTTTTTCAACTCATAGTCATCTCTTATTTTTCTTTCATTTTAAAATAAAATTCGTAACGATACGTCCACTTTTATGTCTACACGTGAAACATACTATAAACCCTTAAACTCACAATTTCCTTACCAACCATGTTAGGGGTACAATAAAAAATATATACCCCAAGTTGTAATCCAAATAGATGCACCAGTATTTTAATAATTTACACAGGCACAAAATACTAGTTCAATCAAAAGAATTTGCACTGCATTTTGTGCCCGTGTAAACCATCACACTATTACAAAATGTTGGTGTATGCATTCAGGGTACAAAATTGAGTACAAGTTTCTGTGTACAAATAGCTTATTTCTTTCCTTATTTATAAGACTAGATTTAACCTACGAGTACATAGTCAAGTCTCTACTTCTTAAATACTCCATATTATATATTTCGTATTTAATTACTTTACATTGATGTGTCCTATTGCTATTGATTTTCATATATATATATATATATATATATATATATATATATATATATATATATATATATATATATATATATATATATATATATATATATATAAAATAAGTAGATAACTACCTTTCATTTTTTTGTGTGTACCAGTACACTACAAATTGTATTAATTAGATCACCTAACTAATACTCCACATATAATACTCCCCTCTAAAAAAGAACTTCACACTATGTGTGTGTGTTTTGTGTGTGTGCAAAGCAAAATGAAATTTTAAGTTTAGCCAAATCATTTTATTTAAAGATTGATATATAAATAAAAATAAAATTTAGTTACATATTTAAAAATCACATCTAAAGTTTTACAAATTTAAAAGTGATAAAGGTATTTTGGTTTTTCAAATTGTCAATTAAAAAGCACAAAAAAAACAAAAAACTTTTTGAATTTTTAAATAGTGAAATGCAGTGCAATGTTTTTTTGGGACTGAGGGAGTAGATAGTGGCCGGATAGTGAAAAAAATTCCAATTCAAATGAAATCAAGAATGAAAGTAATATTCAAGTAGTTGCGAAGTAAATTACAAACAAAAGAAGAAGAAAAATAAACATACACAAAAAAAAAGTGGAATGGTAGATACTCCGTAGAAGAAAAAGGATGGTTGAGGGCAAACCTATTGCACTTGCAATCAGTGTCCATATATCCATGTTATAGCCCAGACAACCCTGTAAAAGATTTAGGTACACAATATTTTAGTCTAGAATGAGGCCAAATGAGGATGAAGATTATTGAGGGTCCAAGATTGTATTACCTATATCATGAAGTACGTATATGCCATAATATTAATTAATGAGGCAGGAGCAATATTTATTGTTCTTATGCATTCTTGTTGAAGTTGTATACTCCTTCCGTCCCACTATATTTGTCCACTTTCATTTTTGCACACCATCCAATACACTTTTCTAATCCATTTTATCTTGTAATTTGTATATTAAAAAATTATAGAAATTATATATTAATAATCTATATGTTAAGACAAATCAAACAAGATCACGCATGACTATATTTAGGCTTACACATTGAGAGAATTTGATGAGTCAGAGTGCTTAGATGAACAGTTCCAAAAGTCAAAAGTGGACGAATATAGCGGGACGAAGGTAGTATATATGTAATTCCCTTATTCACACAATAAAGTTGAGTTCTACCATGAACATATAATTTAGCAAATCAAAACAATTTTGTAGTTGAGATCTTTAAAGGTTACAGAGTCTAAAACAAAATTATACCAAGTATTCATCAACTATAGAGAGTAATAATGTTACACTAGTTTTGCATGTCTATAATCAAAATTTACAATATTTGACATAAATTAAATACAGAGTAAAGATTAGTAATGCTATTAAAAGAACTTATCACTTTCAAATTTTACTTTTCATCTCTCCCAATTTAAATTTTCTATTTTTTGTCAAAAACTCACTTTTATTATCCTTACTAACTCTTATCCAAAATATCACTTTATATTTAAGATTAATTTATTTATGCTCTCTTACTTTTACCTGTTACATCAAATGTGAGTAAGAAAAGTCAAAGTCAAAATATCTCTCTTAAATCATTTAAAAGTCAAAACAGAAAAGTTTTCATATTAAGGGAAGAAGAGAGTATGTATAAATGAAGAAAAATTAAGAAGAATAACAAATGGGACTATCACTAATAGGCCGTTTGAAATATCCCGAAAATGAGACTCCAATTTCTATTTAAAATAATATACTTTCTATTTTACCAAAATATTTCTACTTCGTATTTAAAACTTACTCCCTCGATTCTAAAAAACACTTTCTTTTTTATTTTTTCAAATTTAAATAAAACACTTCCACTTTCTATTAAAAAATCATTTTTACCCTCACTTTTTCATACCCTACCTATCACATCATATCTTTTCTCTAATAATATATTCATTACATCTTATTTTTACCCAAGGACAAAATTGGAAAAAACTACAATTTAACCTTTTCTTATTTTTATACTTTGTCAAACTAGAAACTCTTTTTGAGAACAGATGGAATAAAATTTTTCCAAATTAACATGATCCCCTTGGCTTCCTGATAGTGAAAATATGGTGGTAGAGGGGTCATTTAACTTCATTTCAGCCAAAATGAAAAATAAAAATTAGAATCAAATACCTATAATTGGTTCCAAGTGACCTTCGCCCCCATCACTAACACCCTCGTAAGAGGATCTGAGAAAGGAAGCCAAAAAAACATGCTCTCTAGATGTGCAATATATAAGCTGAATTCCCATTCTTCCATAAAAGCTATGAACCACCGGTGCGGCAAAAGACAAGCGAAAGAAGCACCGTGCCGCCGGTGCAGGTTCTGGTGCTGCTGCATCACCGGAAGAGAAAATGAAAAATAGGCCCTCTGAAGTCGTCGTCCGGCAGTTCGGATCCATCGAAGAAAAAGAGTGACTTGCGGCTGTTATAAAGGGCGTGAAGGCTCGTAGATTAATGGGTAATGAGTCTAGGGTTTACTCCATTGGGCCAGTCTGATCAAAATTTTGGGCCCATAGTATATACTCCCTTCGTCCTAAAATTTTCTTTTCAGAACACTATTCTAACTTCACGAGAATTTATATTTATTTGTGTTTTTTCATGTCCTATATGATAAAATAAAATATTCTTTTCACCACTTGTTTTGTTGAACTTTTGATGTTGTTTTTAAATATGTACTCCCTCCGTCCCATATCTTTCTTCTCACTTTCCTTTATTAGCTGTCCCACTTGATTCTTCTCATTTCCTTAAATGGAATTAAAATGTATGTATAGTTACCAATTTGCCCTTTCTTCATTTATTCTTTCTCTCCACACTTCTCTTTCTTTTTCCTTTGTTCTCGGTCAAACCCCCCAGCCCCATTCTTTTTTTCTTCTTTTTCCTTGTTCTTCTATTCTTCCATTTCTTTTTCTTTTTCAATCTTTACCTTCTTCAGACACTCCCCACTCCCCAGTCCGCACCCCTTCTTCTTCGTCTTCATCAACCCCAACCCCACCTTACATCTTCTTCTTCGGCACCCCCTTCTTTTTCTTTTTTCACAACCCCCTTCCTCTTGTTCTTTGCCACCCCGCCCTGCCTTCTTCCGAGCGTGTTATTAGCAGCGACAAATAGGCGGTGGTGCATCTGTACCACCCAAACGATTCAGATCTAGATTTTCGTTCCTCCATCATCTAGGCATTAGATCCATAGTCTGCCCCTTTCCCAATGAAAAGAGTTTTGATTTTATTTCGATTTTGGCAAGATCCAAGGGAAAAACTTAAAGATCCCATCCATCTTCCTCAGGTGACGAGGTGATGGAATTTTTAGCAGCACGGGTGGGTTTAAAATAGATCTCCCCTCATCTCTTTTATTTTTCTTCAATTTCATTGTCTTTTGATTTTGTGCCCAATCTCGTCATCGCCGGAGATGGCAGCGATGGGGTGGGTTTGAGAAGAACATCGCAAGGGCGAGGTGGGTTTGAGAGAGGATAACAGTAATGATAGAATAAATGAAAAAACAAAAGGGCAAATGTGGAAAGTCAAGGAAAAGTTAGCACTACATTAAAAACCGTGCCAAGTCAAACTGAGAAGTTTCAACTGGGACGGAGGGAGTATTTTGTAATATTTTGATATGCTTTCCGACATGATAATTTTCCAAAAATAAAATATTTTGTATTTTGATGGAGCTTTTCTATGGAATATTGTTCTTACTGCCTTCCTAGAGAGCTATGCGACGTCACAGATCAAGCTCTCCGAGTTAGGCCTGGACACGGTACCGGTGCGGTACCGTCACCGGCGCCGGTACTGCTGGTACCGAGTACCGTCACCGTCACCGGAGACGAGTAACCGGTGCCTGGAACCAGTACCGGAACCGCTCCAACCGGTACCGTATCCGGTTCCCAATTTTTGTCACTAGCACCGCCGGTACCGGTACCGGTTCCGGTGCCGGTTTAATTTTTTTTTTCTTTTTTTTTTGCTCCTGCCGTTCCTGCNTCTTGAGCCGTTAGAGGGGGGGATTGGGGAGGGGAGGGGGGACTAAATACATTTTACATATTATGAATACCCCATTTTTTTCAAAAAATATCACACATTCACAATCAATCCATCTTTCATTCTCTCATTCTCTCAAATCTCAACATATCATTATTAATTTCTTAATTCTTATCAATCATTCCTAATTTCTTAATTTCTTAATTCTTATCTATCTTTTTTAAATATATTATATTTTAATATATAAAATTTCGAAATTATTTGAAATTTTCGAAATTTAATATATCTTTAATATCAAAAAATATATAATTTATATTTTAAATATATTCTCTATTACTTATTGAAATTTTCGAAATTTTAATATATAAAATTTCAAAATTTTTTTAATTTTTCCAAAAGTAAAATACTTTTTTAATATCAAAAAAATATATATCAAAATGTCGAGAGAGGCAAAGCTAAATCCACGAAGTTTGAGGAGAGGCAAAGCTAAAGCCACCTCCGACGGTTTGACCTCACGCGTTTCTCGAAGAAGACACTCCGTCTCTTCCTTTCCTACTATCCCCGATCACTTAATCGGGGACGCTATGACGGATGAAGAATTCGACCAGATTTATTCTGGTAGAGGGGACGCAAATCTCCCCACTCTTGATAGTGTATTCGAAGATCTTGATGAAGCAAATTTGGATAATCTGGACGGGGACGAGGAGCCTACACCGCAGAGCAACGACGTCGACGTGGAGGCAGGTGAGCCCGAGACCTCTCGAGGTCCGGATAAAGGTAAAAAAATATAAATCAGAGTTATTTGTTTATCATTTTGACAAAAAAACAAAAGATGGCATAGTTTATGGAACTTGTAAACATTGTGGGACCGTCATAAAAATGGGAGTTTCCAGCGGTTATGGCGGTCCGGAAAAACACCTAAGGTCGAGGCATCCCGTGGAGTTTGCCAAATACGAGGCAAAAAAGAAGGGACGACAAGAAGTGCAAACCCAAATTTCTCGGTTTGCTAACAGAGGTAAGAGCGGCCTTTTTGCTTATAGCGACGAGCAAAATAAGCAAAAAATGGCCGAAATGATTCGTGAAGAAAATTTGCCATACATGTTGTTTGAGAAACTTGGTTTATTGATTATTGTCAACAGGCATTAAACCCTCAAGCACGAGGTTTTTCACGAAAAACAATTAAACGAGAAATTATTCGTCAGTATAAAAATGGAAAAATAAATTTGGCAAATTTTTTTCTTAATTTTAATTCTCGTGTTGCTATTTGTTCTGATATTTGGGGTGAAACTTATCATAATTTGTCTTATATGGGTGTTACTTGTCATTGGATAGATAGTGATTGGATTATGCATAAACGTGTTCTTGCATTTCGTGATTTCAATGAACAGCATACTGCTGAAAATATTTTCCTATTGATTTAGAGTATTCTGCGGGAATACAACTTATCTGACAAAGTGTTTTCATTTGGTTTTGATAATGATACTAATAATACTGCAGCTATTCCTAGACTTAGAGAAATTTGCCCACCGTCTACGGCTATGGGTAGATTTCTGCATCAACGGTGTGCCTGTCATGTTTTAAATTTATGTGTTCAACAGGGACTAGAAGCTATGGGCGGAGTTTTGACGAATATTAAAGAAGGAATTAAAAGAATTTGGGGGGCTCGTCTTGTTTCGAAAAAATGGAAGATGTTCTGTAAGTCTAAGGGTAGAAAAGAAATAATTTTTGTCAAAGATATCAACATTAGATGGAATAGTACTTACAAATTGATTCATCAGATTCTAAAATATAAAGAGGAACTTGCTGAATTTTTTAGTGATGAACTACGTATAATCATTGATCCTTTTGAATTTGTTATTGTTGAAAAATTGAATGCCGTATTAGAAGTTTTTAATAACGCAACTCTTACTTTTTCTCATGTTTACCAACCAACTACAAATACATTTTTAAAAGAGTGCGTTACAATCGTAACATGTTTTCGTGAAAGTAAGGCTGATCCGGATTTGTACCCATATGTCTCTCCTATGATAGATAAATGGTTTGCTTATTATTTGTACATTCCCGATATTTATAAAATACTCCCTCCGTCCCGGTGTTTATGTCCACTTTCTTTTTGGCACATGAACCAAGGAGGGTGAAATTACGGAGGAGAAGTACGAAAATACCCCTTCCCCTTCATTTTAGATCTGGAATTTACTATTGCAAATCTAATTAGCCTGCTAAGTCGACTCAGAGCCTCCGCTGGCTCACTACGAGCCACTCATTCTACATCTCAATCCATTTCTCTCTTTCTCTTTCTTTCTCTCTCTCTCCGTCGCTCGGAACTCCATTGCTTCCTCGATTCTTTCCATGAATGAGGTATCAAGTCTACTGTTAGTATTTTCATCATATCAATACTCGTCTCCATTTTTTGTGTAATCGTCAGGTTTTTTATTTTTGTTTTTGTTTTAATTTTTACTCTCCTTTTAGTTTGTTCAATTTTGGGTAAAGATGGTGCCGGGTGTGAAGAAATTGATCGAGAACGTTAATTGGGAATTGAGGGAAACAATCAACATAGAGCTATCTTTCGCAAGTTCTCAGTCTTCGCCTTCTGGAGTAACAGATCTAGATCGATATATGGAAGATTAAAGGCGGGGGAGTGAATAAAAATTTATTGATTGCTAGTGGGGAAGGGAGATAATGATATGGGTGCAGTGTATACGTTACTGGGTGTATACGGAAATGGGAATGCTCCGTATTAAAAAGTAAAGAATTTAAGTGGAGGGTAAAATGGAGAATTAATACATTTGAGTTATACTAAAAGAGGAAAGTGGACAAAAACAGTGGGACGTCCCAAAAAGGAAAAGTGGACAAAAACAGTGGGATGGAGGGAGTAGGTATTATTTGTGATCCACGCTTTAAGATTGAAAATTTTAAAATTTTAATTCAGTATTACTACAATTGCTTTTTAGATGAAAATAGTTATTACTACAGTCGTTTAGTAGAATGGAAAAAAGAAAGAGATAATGCTGTAACTTTTTTTGAAAATTTGTTTGAGGAATATCAAGGGTTATACGGCACTCTACAAGAAGAAACAGCACCACCTCTGCCCCCGAAATCAAAAAAAGGTTTTGCCGGAATAGTCGGTGGTCTTCTTGCAAAGAAAGGGAAGCGTGTTCATTCTTCGACGAGTTCAAGTGGTACAACAGTAAGCTCGCACAATGAACTTGCTATGTACCAGGGTGTGCCATGCGATTATGATGACGACGACGTGGATTTTGACGTGCTCGGATGGTGGAAGCGGAACGAACACATGTTCCCATGTCTCGGCATGCTAGCAAGACAAGTGTTATCCGTTTCGGTATCAACCGTAGCAGTTGAACGAGAATTCAGTGCTGGCGGCAACATTCTAACCGACTATCGAAGTTGTCTTAGCGCTGAATCTCTTGAAACACTGGTTTGCAACCAAGATTGGCTCTTGGCAAGACGTCGAGCTCAAGAGGCTTCGTACCAACTCGAATCGGAGCATTACATGAATGCAACAACAGATGGAAGTCTGAGTTTTGAAGAATAATTTATAATTATTTTATGTTAAATTGTTAATGTAACTATGTAATTAGTTTTTTTAGGAGAGCGATATATAAGCTCCTTCGAGGGTTTCTTTACGGTTCTTTACCTCGTCGCTTTTTTTGAACCGTCAGGATATTAAATGTGGTTGTTCTTCAGTTAGTGTATTATTCATTTAAAATATTTAAATAACAACTACATTTTTAGATTTTTTACTTCATTCTTTCCTTAAACAATTGCAAATTTACAATTTTATACTTTAAAAATTTTTAAAAAAGCAAAAAAAAAATATTGGGGGGCCGAAACCGGCCGGTCCGGTCCGAGAACCGGAACCGGTACTGGCCTGCACGGTGACGGTTCTGGTGACATGGGGTGGCGGTACCGGAACCGGCGGTTCCGGAACCGGAACCGTACCGTGTCCACCCCTACTCCGAGTTGTTTATTTCCAAAACGAAACACCCTACCTTTTCTTCGACTCTCTATCTAGATCTTTATTTATAGGGTGGTAGCCCTATATCCTTTAGCTTCCACTTTTACCATGAGATGCTTTTATAGCTTCTTATAACTTCTCGGAAGAGGTCTTAATTATAAAATTATCGAAATGACTAAAATTAAATTATTAATAAATACAAACTAATTGTTTCTAAAACAAGATAAAAATAAAAAAGTAATAAGTGATAAGACTAAGTTGAAGAGAACATGGCCTAAATGTGTAATCTCATTAGCAGAACGAAAAAATAAACTAATCTTAAATTAAGGTAAATCTTCTCCACTAGCTTGAGTAGTGGGAAGCCCACTCTCCGAGATTCACCGAGAAGTCCACCCAAGTTTGAGCCTCGACATAGACGAGTGCACCAACTCTTTGTGTGTCATTAGGTTAAAAAATTATAGAAATTATATATTAATAATTTATATGTTAAGACAAATCAAATAAGATCACACATGACTATATTTAGACTTACACATTGAGAGAATTTGATGAGTCAAAGTGCTTAGATGAACAGTTTCAAAAGTCAAATGTGGACAAATACAGGGGGACGGAGGGAGTATTAAATTAAGGTAGAGAACATGTTAACGGCTAATGACTTCTTTGTGGCATTGCATGTTTTCACAATGTTTCAACGCCTCTTTGATCGCCATACCTTCAACTTCTCCAAGCCCATAACTATCCCTACACTTAACTTTTTTTTGCAACCACACAAGCAACAAAGTCAAGTACTATCACATTATCAACCATGTTCATATAAACGTCCATATTGACTTTAAGAATCCTTGATGCGGTCGTGTCCAACATCTTCCAATAGTTGTAATTGGTCCATCAGCTTTTGAGGGGTGTGACGACTCGTCATTGATTTTTGAAGTTACACCGTGCATTAGCTCAGGCTTTAAGTGGTGTCAAATTTTCACGACACCAAACACATACATTATTGTCTTTCCAAATTGCTCACAATATATGAAAAGCAAATGTTTGACCCAAGAATTATAAAGTCAAAAGATCATCAAAGTCCACAACTAAAATGTGTTCACATTAGGCATAAAATTGTTCAAATCCAGAGTTGACTAAATATTTCAAGCAAAGATGGACGAGAATACCGTTAGTGTATCAAAACATACATTTATTTCTTAATACATACTCATGGCGTACACATTATACAGTTAGTGTATCAACATGCACATGTTACACAATACTTATTTTTTACACGTACAACAAAAGAGTATGTATATCTGGATGCACAATAAAATTTGCCAATTTTTAAAGAGAATAACGAAATAATATAAATCTCATACTTTTTTCCTTAAGAGAAATATCGATTTTGATTTGGATCATTTAAAATACGAAAGGAGAAACATAGATTCTAAGCAAGGGAAGCACTAATGAGGGGTTATGGTTTGTCGACCAAATACTTCAAAGCGAGACACCTCACGGAGTTCGCCAAAATGAATGCAAAGAAAAGACAAACCCTGATTTCTCGCCTTGCGAACAATGTTAAGAGCAACATTTTTAGTTATAACGACAATCAAAATAAACCAAGAATGATTGAGATAATTTGCGAGAACTTACTATTCATGTTATTTGAAAAATGTGGCTTTATTGATTATTGTCAAAATGTACTTAACCCTTAAGCAAGAAGATTTTCAAGAAAAACAATCAAGATAGAAATAATTGACCAATATAGTGATAAAAAAATAATTTGGCTAACTTTTTTCTTAGTTTTAAATCTCGTGTACCACTTGTTATGATATTTGGAGTAAAATTTATCATAACTTGTCTCACATTGGTGGTACTTGTCATTGGATATATAGTGACTGGGTGATGCATAAACGTATTCTTGCATTTCGTGATTTCAATGAATCTTACATTAGTGATAATAACCATATTTTGCTTGAATATATTCTGAACGAACACAATTTACTTGCTAAGGTATTTCGATTTGGCTTTGATAAAGCTATTAATAACACTGCTGCCATTTCTAAACTTAAAGAACTCTGTCTTCCTAAAATCGTAATAATTCTCATTCATGGAAGTTTTTCTGCAAATATAAGAATAGAAAACCAATAACTTTTGTCAAACAGATTACGATTAGATGGAATAGTACATATAAGTTGATCGTACGAATATTGTGATGTAAAGAAATACTTGCTTCATTTCTTAAATATGAACTTAATCATATAATTGATCCGGAACCTTGTGGTCGAATGACACCACTATGACTTTCCCAAATGAGAAGTCCCGTGTTCGATCTCCAGTGTGGATAGTAACTCTACGAACATCTTATCAGGGATAAATGATGTGCTTATTCTTTATATATTGTGTTCGTGAGATTTAATTATAAAATTGGTATTATTTTTAAAATTCTTATGAAGTACTCCGTATTATATATGGAGTATTACGTATTTGTTTTTTTAGATGATAATGGTTATTGTTATGAGCATATGGAGGAAAGTATTTGGCACTAGCCTATACAAGAGAAGTAGCGCGCGAGTGGCTTGACGCACATTGGCGTCAACTTTGTGACCCAAGTCCTGCAAGTCGCTGTCTGAACATAACTGGATTCCATTTAGGCGGCTCTTCTTCTCTCCAACACCAGCCCTCCTTCTTCCTCCCGTCTTCCCCTCTGTTCTTCCCCAAAAAAATTCCTTCTCTCTGTTGATCGACCGCGTTTTCACCTCCTTTTAATGATGATGACGACGGTGTTTTTTCATTGATTATTGGATTTATTGCTATACTTTTTCCCTAACAAAGAATACAAATCACTTTTTAGGGTTCCTCTCCCCCTCCATCACTGCGCAACAGCTGTAAAATCCCCAATCGTTTCCCCAGTTTCCGTTGTTTTTTGTTTGAAATCCAGTTTTGGCCGGAGTTTGTGTATGGTGATTTCACTCGGACGCGCGTTGAAATTCACCAAGCTTGGAATATATTTTTTATCCTTGTGGAATTTTCCCTGTAGAACTCCGGAGCTGGTTTCATGGCCACAGAGAGCCGGCCGTACGGTCTTAATCATAGACTAGGTGAGTTCTAAGTTAATCTACTTAGAAACGGATGATTTCTATTATATTCCGGACAATTCATTTTAGTAGGGCTGTTAATGAATAGAGCCTTCCATGAGAATGAAATTATGAACCTTAAAAAATTTTGCTGGTTGAAACAACAATTGGATGCCTTATGGGTTTGTTTGGTTTGGGGGATTCAGGAGGGAAGGGGAACACTGGTTCTTCATTTACTAATTTATCTATATTTGTTATTTTTAGACAAGAAAATAACTACTACGGAATATATGTTTAGTTAAGTCTTGCATCTTTTTGTTTTAAGTTTTCATATTTACTTTGTTTTTCAACTATCTAAATAAAAGAATTATTAATAAAATAGATATCACAATCCCTTTTGAAACTCGCCAACCCTAACCAATTACTTTAATATCTAAGACTGGTAGCCATTATTCATGCTGAGAAATATATTTAGACTTTTGAAATATACTACATATGAGTAGTTTGTCATAATGTGCTCAATACTGGTCACTGAAGGATGTCTTAGACATTTATCTCCTTGTAACTGACTCACTGGCCATGTCAGCTGTAGTGTTACAGTGTTGCTATTTAAAGTTAACATTGATGATTCTTAATGGGATTCTCGCTTATTATGCATAAGCTTCCCTGCCTTTCCACATCTAGCATGCACATGAACACTATTATCTGTTTGGAGAAGAGAATCTGCATTCTATGATACTTTTGCAAACACTCTAACAAGGTTTCTGGTGAATGCAGATATTGAGCAGATACTGTTAGAAGCACAACACCGTTGGCTGCGCCCAGCTGAAATATGTGAAATACTTACAAATTACCAGAAATTTCGGATTGCTCCTGAGCCTCCAAACAGGCCTCCAAGTATGACCTTTTAGATAAGTTTGGTTGAGAGTTGACATGTAGGGTGTGTGCAGCATGCACACTCTCACACACTCACATCCTTAATGAGGAATGAAACATGTCGGCGACAGTTTGCAGGACCTATCTTCTTCTTGGGGGATGTGCTGAAATGTTTTCTTCAAAAAATTCTTGTCTAGACCCTCTTAATCCGCACTAGAGTCAAATTGATAATAAAAGAGAATGGCATAAACATTAAAAAACAAAAAGAAAGAATCATCACTTGTTCTGAATGAAAGTAATTAGTCTGATACTTTGAATTTATGGTTTACTAGCACTGTACTAAAACGTCTAAAAGAATACTCCGTTATTTGGATTGCTTGGATATGTATTCAGCATAAACTGTTTCTTTTCAGGTGGTTCACTCTTTCTTTTTGATCGCAAGGTGTTGAGATATTTTCGGAAAGATGGGCACAACTGGAGGAAGAAAAAGGATGGGAAGACTGTGAAGGAAGCTCACGAAAAACTCAAGGTAAAATTATTGTAGTTTGTCCTTTTGATGATTATGAGGAGTTTTATTTATCAGGGGGAGGGAGGCGGGGGGGGGGGGGGTTAGGGGGTAGGAACCATCAATTTTACGAATGGAGCCCTGTAGTTGCCCCAATTGAATTTGTTTCACAATCTTAAACCATTTTTTTGGTGTAAGATTACCCTCTCTCTCTCGCTCTCGCTCTCTCTCTACACACACACATGTGTGTGTGTGTGCGCACACACACCGGGGGGCATAAAATAATAAAAAATGATTAAGTCTTAGTTTCTTAGATTGAAAGTTTTAATACTCTAAACTGGTATTCTGTGGTATAACAATATTCATCTTCAAGGTCCTTTGATTGATGTTTCAATACTGATTTGTCTAGTCTGGAAGCATTGATGTCTTGCATTGTTATTATGCTCACGGAGAAGGGAATGAAAACTTCCAGAGGCGCAGCTATTGGTTGCTTGAAGAGTACGTTACATAAATCTGCTAGTGTGATATTCCACATTTCCACTACTAGAGTGATTCAGTCTACTCCTAATTTTAGGTTAAAGAGAAGCTAACTTGTTTTTTCAGGGAGCGGTCAAACATTGTTCTAGTCCACTACCGTGAAGTAAAGGTAAAATGCTTTTCACTTTACTTGGGTGTGGGTGCAACGTTTTGAAACCACGGGGACTTGTGAAATAAGTTTTGAAAACAGAGGGGGTATTGGTGCCAATTTTCCAAACCACATGGGGCACTGAAGCTATTTGGCTGCTCTTTTAGTCATCAAGAGAGAGTAAATAGGAGAAAATAACATATGTTTTTTGGCCGGAGAATATGTGGTTAATAAAAAGGGAATTTTTTTCGGTTGGTAGTAATGAAATTGTTGGGAATAAATATGTTATTGTTTTAACAACTTCAAAGTGATTTAAGGATTAAGGTAAATACAAAAGTGACCATATATTCTTTTTTTGTCAAATAATTATGCATATTTTATGTGGGTATTGTCCGAACATATCTTCAATCAAGAATAAATAATACCTAAGCCGTGGTAAGATTTAGATTTTATTTTTAACCTACTGAACAAACCCCTTTTCATGGAAATAAACAAGGAAAAATACAGTCCCTCCATCCAACTAAATGACCCGTCATTCATCCCACTCTTCTACCTTTAAACAATGAATGGACTAGGCGTATTCTTCTTTTCAATTTTACAAAAGAACACAAGAGTTTCATGGTATGCTTAGATGTAGAATATAATTCCCCTTTCCCCATCCTTGTAGCAAACACAAATAACAATATCACCTTTTTTTAATTCAAACTAAGTTTTGAAGCAACTTGATGTCAGCATGATGTCAGGTGTTCCCCTATGTTCTATTGTAGTGAATCAGGATCAAGCTTTTATGGTTTCAAATCCATGGAATTACAAAAATTACTGTTTTCTTAGGTTCCATCTGGAACTTATAGATGATCTAAACATGTTCATTCTGCAGGGTAGCCGGATGAACTTTAACCGTACTAGAGAACCTCAATTAGCTATTCCCGCTTTTCCAGAAGGTGAAGATGTGAACAGCTCTGAAGGAGGCAGTACAGTTTCTTCAAAATTCCACCAATATGATTACCAAGTGGCGTCACATTGTACAGATACCGCTAGCCTTACCAGTGCTCAAGCCTCTGAATATGAAGAGGCAGAATCAGGTTTGTTTGTTTATCTATTGGTCTATCTCTCTCACGAGGATTTTAATAACTGGCATATTCTGTATCTGTTTGTTGAAAACTAGGCATAACTTATTTCTTTGGAAATATAACATATTGCAGTGTACAATAAACAATCAACGTCTGGGGCCTACTCTTCCACTGAGTTTCAGGCAAATATAATCCCAAAGGCTGAAGATGGACTTTCTGCTCATTATCCAGTCTCTTCCTCAAGTAATAAATTGTTTTAATTTCTGCATCATTTAAAATTTAATTTACCACCCAAAAAGTCTTGTTCGACAAGGTGTAACCTTAAAAGTTGGCAAGGTACATTTCCTAGAAGTTGTGGAAGCTAATTTTATTTTTAAAATTTATTTCTTTAAATTAAATTTATCATATTGAACTTGTTATTGGTTTCAAAATTACATGGGAAAAAATTGGCTTATGAAATAGGACTTTCGTGGTATACAAACTTCTAAAATACTACGGGGTATGGCTTTTTTTTAGGACAGATGACTTGTGAGTGTAAAGGCTTTTCTGCTATGATTGATACTTTATAATGCATACAAAGTAGTGATACTTTATAATGCATATGTAGTAAAGTAACAATTTCTGAAATTGAACAGATGATCAACAAGGCTATTTTCCCGCAATTTCTGGTATAGGCCTCCCTTCAATCACACATGGAAACCAGAACAGCAACAGTTCTAGTGCTTATATCCCTGATTTCCCATCATGGGATACTATATTAAAAAAGAACACCCCAACTTATGGATCTATACAATTTCAACCCTCACTTTCCCCATCTCAATCTGTTGGAATAAGCAATGTGAATGGACAAGGAAGTTCTATGATTTCCTTCACAAATGACTTCAGTGATAAACTTCAGCATCAAAAACATTTCCATTCCCCAGATGAATGGCAGGTATGAAATGCTGATTCCCAAGTATGCCTGTATATTCATCTTGTTGTCTAGTTACAACATAAATAAACACCTACAATAAAAAATATAAAATGTTAATCAATTCTTAAGTGTAATAAGATTTGTTGTAGTAAAATACATGATTGATTGTTTGACTAGTTTGCCCAATAACACCATGTTACGGACATATAAATAAGGGGATTATCACACTTTTAGTTTGCAATTGTTCGACATTACGTAATTTGGGACATGCCTTTAAAAGTACATACGTTCAGTTGCTCAATTGCTGTAATTGAAACAATACAGTCCTGTTAAAGTCATAGTTTAGTATTAAGGTTTGTGTGGGCACTATTGGAAATTTAAAATGCCAACAATGCGCTCTATTAATCATAATATTTAACAGTGTAAATGTGATTTTAACGCGATAGAGTCTACATTATAGCAATTAACAGATAAAAGTTACAAAAAACGGAGGGGTTCCCATGACATTGGAACCCCATGTCATACGATGACCCGAGGCCGCTACGGTGCCCCGTTCGTAAAATTGACGGTTCCTACCCCCACCCCGCCCTGACCCGAACACACCCCCCACCCCCTTCAATTGCACCCTCCAAAGTCAAAATCAACTTGGGGGTGCAATTGAAGGGGGTTGGGGGTGTGTTCGGGTCGGGGTGGGGGATTTACCGGGGTGGTTAGGGGGGTAGGAACTGTCAAGTTTACAAATGGGGCACCGTAGTGGCCCGGGTCATCCCATATTCCCATGACATGGGGTTCCAATGTCATGGGAACCCTCCCCTACAAAAAAAAGCCCTGCAGTAAATTTAAGCTGTTGGAGGACTAAAAGTGAAAATTTTCCCATAAATAAATTGAAATTTTAGCTCATCGTTATAGCTTTGCAATTATGCTAAAGATCTTGGTCTCCAAAAAAGTTCCAATTTTTTAAGTAAATTTTGGGTTACTAGGAATGCATTCTATAAAGCTGAGTTTACTTATAGTTGGGCTTGACAGGGTGTCAGCGCCAATGGTAGTGAGGAAATGCTCTATCTCTTGTTTGTTTGTTTGTGCATATTCCACTAATGTCACTTAACCAATTGAAGAAATCTTGGCTCTTCGCTCCATCTCTAGGAAGGCCATTCACTATATATATATTGTCAAAAGTCCAGTGCTAATTTATTTGATACTTTCACAGTATATAGTTTTTCTTTAAAAAATTACACCTGAATCCCGAGGGCCCTCACTGCCCCATGGGGTTTGGATGGAGGAGGTAAATTGTGGGTATGCTCAGTGGTCAGGGTTTCCCAAGTTGTGTGGCCCACGACAAAGTCAACTCCACACTGATGGGAGTTGAACTCTGCACTCTGTGGCCGCCCCTGCCATTTGGATTACCAAGCACTGGGCCGGGGCAAGCACACGAGTAGGATTTGATCCTGGATAATTGGGGGAAGAAAAGGAGGGGTGAAACCACTTGACCAAACCTGGCTTGCAACAACATATAAATTTTAGTCTATAGAAATGCTTAGTTCACACAAACAAAAGGTCACGAAATTCAAAAACTTGCCATTTATGATTTTTTTTTACTTTTACCAAATACTGTCTGTTTCAATATAATATTTGTTCTACAAAATTCATTCATTAATTCCGTATTTAAATGTGTCATTTTTCCAAGAAACAAAATATTCAAAAGATATAAAGTTAAGAGGCTCATGAAAATTATGTGAAGTAACGAATATGAAGGAAACAACATGAGAATTACAGAGCTTCAGACATGAGAATTACAGAGCTTCAGAGAAAATTTCCAAGATCCCCCAAAGGAAGCAAGAATACTTCTTAGTTCTACTTCGTACATTATTACATGTACAAAGTAGTGAAAATACTAAGGAAATCATGAATTTAGTAAATAGTAATGCAGATCATCTAAAGCATTTTCGTTTTGATTACCCGTCAATTCTAAATAAGTGTTCTGCTAGATTAGTTCTCTCTTTATTTGATAAATTCTGGATTTATTTCTAAATTAGGTTCCATATATGCATCATTATCATTAGATGGCAACTTTGGATGGTTGGTGGAAATGTCAACTATTTTGGGAATTGGGACAGAGAGTACATATACATAAATAAAAATTTTATGAATTTTGTGACTTTTACCAAATACTGTCCATTTCAATATAATATTTTTTTACAAAATCCATTCATTAATTCCGTATTTAAATGTGTCATTTTTCCAAGAAACAAAATATTCAAAAGATATAAAGTTAAGAGGCTCAAGAAAATTATGTGAAGTTACGAATATGAAGGAAACAACATGAGAATTACAGAGATTCCGAGAAAATTTCCAAGATCCCCCAAAGGAAGCAAGAATACCTCTTAGTTCTACTCCGTACATTATTACATGTACAAAGTAGTGAAAGTACTAAGGAAATCATGAATTTAGTAATGCAGATCATCTAAAGCATTTTCATTTTGATTACCCGTCAATTCTAAATAATTGTTCTGCTAGATTAGTTCTCTCTTTATTTGATAAATTCTGGATTTATTTCTAAATTAGGTTCCATATATGCATCATTATCATTATATGGGAACTTTGGATGGTTGGTGGAAACGTCAACTATTTTGGAACAGAGAGTACATATACATAAATATAAAATAATAATACGTGTACAAAATTGAAGACATGATGTAATATATTGGTTTCCTGTGTTAGAAATTTAAAATTGTAAATTTGAAATGCAGATATCTAAGGGTGATTCTTTGCAATCAACAAAGTGGTTCATGGATCAGAAAATTGAACCAAATCAAGCATTTGATTTCACTAGCAAATTAGTTAAAGAGAACTACAGTGAGAACTTTATAAAAGCAGAGTTAAATAGTGATCCCAATGTGGAGGTAAAAACTGACCATTTGAGTGCGAAGCAACCTTTGTTAGATAGTGTTCTAAAACAAGGGCTGAAGAAACTTGATAGCTTCGACCGTTGGATCAGTAAGGAACTAGAAGATGTAAATGAGGAGACACATATGCAATCATGTTCTGGAAGTTATTGGGAGAATGTTGGGAATGGAGATGGAGTAGAGGAATCCCCTATTTCATCTCAAGTGCAGTTAGACACGTATGTGCTTAGCCCATCACTGTCGCAGGATCAGTTCTTCACCATCCTTGATTTCTCACCAACTTGGGTGTATGCTGGAACAGAGACCAAGGTATTTGTATTAACCAAATTGTCAAATCAATTAATCATTTGGGGATGCAGAACTGTTTTTTTCTTATTTTGAAATAATTTATTCCATAAATGAAAATATATTAAATAAGTTTGACTTCCATAGTTCTGCTTAAAAATATACTACCTCCGTCCCAAAATAAACATTCGCTTTCGTTTTTTCTCTGTCTCAAAATAAAAGTCCATTTTTTGGGTAAAGAATATATGTCTATCATTATGTCTCTCTCTTTCAAATCAATTCCAACCACACACTTTCTTAAACTCCCTAGTGGACTTTTAATTTGGGACAAAGGGAGTAGCTAAAAGTCTTTACAATTTATTTTCTATTTGCTCATTACTTTTACTGAACGGCTACATGTATATTTAATCAATGTTATTAAAATTATAAAATTATAACATGATATACTATTTAAAATATATTAAAATGCAATTTTGTCCACACATTGGTTTCTATATGCAATACTGGTGCAAAATAGAGGTTTTTTATTAAATAAGTTGAAGTATAAGTTAATATGTAAACATCATAGTTCTTTTTAGTTTGTAGTACAACTTACTGATTAATTAATGTCTTATGAAGTGATTGGTTATTGATGAAATGTGTTTCACTTTGACTATGAGTAAACCATGCAAATTTATTTACAGGCAAGATCCTCAATCTGTTTATTTTTACAACCAGGTTCTAATTACTGGAAAATTTTTATTGCCTCGCCCAGAAGTGGAGAAGTATACTTGGGCATGTATGTTTGGTGATTTGGAAGTTCCAGCTGAGATCATTGCAGATGGGGTTCTTCGTTGCCACACACCTTTTCAAAATCCCGGGAGGGTTCCGTTCTACATAACATGTTCCAATAGGTTAGCATGTAGTGAAGTGAGAGAATTTGACTTCTGTGTTGGTGAAAATCAAGATGTTGGGATTGGTGAAAACAGCAGTTGCTCCAGTGAAGAAATTCTTCTTCATATGAGATTTGTGAAGTTTTTATCTTCGGGGTGTTCTGGGTCCCTCAACTCTATACCTAATAGCAATATGGATGAGATGTCTCATGTAATTAGTAAAATCAATTCTTTGTTGAAAGAAGAAAACAGTGAATGGGAAAACATGTCGCATTTCACATCGGGAGACATGATGCTACGGAAGCTTCTAAAAGAGCACTTAAGAAATTGGCTCATCCAAAAAGTTGGTGAAGGTGATAAAGGTGCTAATGTAATAGATGAGAATGGTGTAGGAGTTCTTCATTTTGCAGCTGCTCTTGGCTATGATTGGGCTGTACCACCAACTTTAGCTGCGGGAGTAAATGTTAATTTTAGGGATGCGAATGGATGGACAGCACTCCATTGGGCTGCATTCTATGGAAGGTATTGCATTTTTTAATTATTATTGTTGCTCCCTCCGTCCCACTTTTTTGTCCCCTTCTACTCTTTTCGTCTTTCAGTCTTTCCCACTATTGTTGTCTCATACCCTATTTGGTCATGTTTGTGTGGTTCACATTCATTATTACTTTATCTTATTTTTTTAACATCAATATCAACCAATCGTAATTTTCTTAATTTTCATGTCACCCCCTATAGTGAGATAGAGAGACTGAGGGAGTGTTGTTGTTGTTGTTACTATTATTAGTATTATTATTAATTTTTTTAATTGCCATCTTTATACCTCAACTATCTTTTGAGGTATGTTTGGATTTAAGATTTGCTTGGGGGGAAAAAGGATATGCTAAGGAAAGTCATTTTTTTTATGTTTGGTTTTACCTTGGAAAATTTGAAGGACAATGGAATATGATAAAATTTAATTTCTTTATCTACATTTTAATATCTTAATTTTTATATACTTCTTCGGTCCCAAAATCATGTTCCCGTTTGCTTTTCACAGTGTGTAAGAAAATGTAAAAGTGTGTGGTTGAGATTTATGCAAAGAAGAAATCGCATGAACGCCACATTTTATAACTTGAAAGGAATGAAAACTTAATTTTGGGACGTACTCACGTACCAAAATGGATAGTGAGAATTTAATTTTAGGACAGAGGGAGTAATAAAAATAATTTAAAAAGAGTTCACACAACTATCTAAAATAAATGTACCGAGTTTGAATCTATCTTTTATTTTCCTTTAATTTTGTTTCATCCAAATTTTCCTCTATTTTTTCCATACTTTCCTTTTCTGTTTCCAGTGCTTTTCAGGTTTCAAACGGACTCTTAATCCATCCAGTTCCAGGAAAAACTATTAAATACTCCGTACTCTGTAATTCTATAACAGAGTTGATGGGTTTCATATATAAGATTTGTGTAAGTTTCTTGAGTCATGCTATAAGTCCACGAAAGAGAGTCAAAATGATGTGGCTAGCAATACAAGATTAGTGAACCCATATTATTTTTATTTGAAACTTGAAAGATAACTTTGTTTTGCCACATAATTCAAGACAAGTTGCCCAGAAATTATGTTTGGATAACATTTTCCTCATTCATTTTCCTCATTCATTCTTTGGTATGTTTGGATCTCAGAAATTGCTTGGGAAAGGAAATACTGTAAAGAAACCTATTTTCTGATGTTTAATATTGCCTTAGAAAATAAGAGAAATGAAATGTGATCAGTTTTTCACAAATTAAAAAACGAATGTCAATAAAGATGTAAAATATATTATGAGTTTTGGCCTGTATTTCATTTTCCTTACTATATCTGATCCTTTTCCGAGTTCCAAATAGACCCTTAAGGCCTTAATATTTCATGACAAGCCCCCCCCCCCC